CAAGGGCGTCGAATACTCCATGAGTCTGAGTGGATGTAAACTACTCTGAGTAGATATGAGATACACAATATATCTTGTTGCTGTACTATATAACGACTCTACACGTCAGGATAGTATATATATGAGCGTCTTACAATGCTCGATATTCAAAAGGGTATCTGAGAGCGTCTGTAGGCACTCAGACTTGATCAAAGACTACCGCAGGTCTCTGTTGTATCTTTGGGGTTTTGGACATTCTTAGGCGCGCAAAAGCGTTTTTCCTGATGAATGAACTTGTGCACTATCTAGCACGGACTCGGAGAGTAGTGAGCGGCGAAAGCGCCGAGAGCAACTGGCAGAGGCCCTAAGGCGTCAGACGACGATGACATCATGGTCGTACAGAGTCTTGCTCTGCCAGTGTGAGCAAGGGATCTTTGGCGGACGATATGTGATCTCGCCCTGTGCTATTATTGTGCAGTCATGGGGTAGTGGTAACCTGGGTCGTTGCCATTCCCAACTCTCGAGAAGTATCGACCCGCCCCGAGTTCGATTCTCGGTGGCTGCATTTGTTTTGATCTTGAACATACGGAACCTTTTTCACTGGGAGCGCCGAGCACCCCTTACGTGGGATCCTCATTCATGCTGATCCCGCGGAAGTGTCACGATACAAATGGCTGTCTCCCCATCATGTGTTCTGAAGGCTGAATACTGTATATTCTGATTACTGTGGTGACTTCGCCGGGTACATAGACATCTACGCCGAGAACGCATCTCGCTTCTGCAGCGACGAGCGCGGGTCTTCATCGTCGATCTGATCGAAGCTGCGAAGTATCTTTGAATACGATCGCGAAGCATCCGAGTGTATTAACACGTACTAGGGGAAGACAGGTTGCAGTTTGTCTGGATGCATCTCCGGGAAGTGTTTGTTTATAGCATCCATGAGAATATCGGACACCACCTGACCGATAGCAAGGGTCAGTTCTACCGACAACTCCCCACAGCGACCGACGAACCTTGTACCCCTCCGCTGTCAGATGCAGCCCGTCCGCAAGGTACGCGCTCAGCCTGTCCTCCTTCTCCTCCGCCTTCTCCCAGATCGCCGTCCACACATCCACTACGTGCACGCCCTCTTCAGCCGCGACCTCCCGCGCCGCGTCCGCATACGCCCGCGTGACCTCGAAGCGGCGGTCGAGCACGCGCGGCGGGTCTTTCGCCGCCTGGCGGCGCGCCCACATCGCCTCGCTGACGGGCGGGGGCGTGAGCAGGAGGACGTGCGTCGCGGGGGAGTAGCGCGGCGAGTCCGGGGCGGCGACGGTGCGGACGAGCGTGCGGAGGTTCGCGCGGTACCGCGCGAGGGGGACGTGCTGCCGCGTCGGGAGCTGTGCGGCGTCGTTTGCGCCGAGCCAGATCGTGAGCAGGCGCACGGTCGGGAGGTTGGTGCGCTCGTCGCGCTTCGCGAAGCACTGCGCGGCCGAGGCGGGGTTAGAGGGACAGACTAGAGCGGGGTTGTCTGCGGGTGACGCGCACCTGTTCGAGCACGGGAATGGCCCATTCGGTGTTGTAACCTGACAATCCGCGGTTGATGACGTCCAGCTTGCGATTGTATACATCTGGCTATCTGGTGAGCAACCCGGAGGGACGAGTGGGGATGACACTTACATGCGAGCTGTTGTGCGAACCCATGCGACTCCCACCCTCCCTGGGTGATCGAGTCGCCTATGAGCATTATGACGTCTTGCACGTTAGCTGCCATTGTTTCAGCAAGACACGAGCACGAGAGGCGATCTGCTCGGTGGGTGGTGGTGGTCGAAGACGAAGGAGCGAGGCAGCGTGCCGAACACGAACTAGACAAGCCCCTACGAACCACTTTCGTTGACACAGGAGCACCATATCTGGTTGCGAGTAGGATAGCATATCGAATGTATATCGGGTTGCACGAAGACGTGCACACATGTAACGAATTCTCGAGAGGTCTGAGTCGTGCAGCAGACCGTCGACCAACGCTCTTCGGACATGGTGCCAGAACTGGCAGAAGTCTTCGAGTCCGTGTGCCGGCGGCCCGGCGATCGATCAGGGCCTCCGGCAGATGCCGAGTCCAGACTTCTGCCCAGTGGCCTCAATCTTCCGAGCTATTGCCACTCCACCTGCAACTTGCAACCGCAGTCGTGCTTCATCTTGGGTCTTTGCTTTTTGCGGAAAGTTTATTGAAAACCCCCTCCACAATAGTATGGGGCCTCGAAGCTTGTTCCTGATCAACAAGAACATGCAAATTTTGCAAACGCAGCAGCGCGACTCACGGTACTCAAGCCATTGCATGACCCCTCAGGTTGAATACATGTGTACGAGGCATCATGATGTTACACAATGCTATGTTCATACCTACACTGCTTACAGATACATATAGATGTCACTGGGGGCGTGCCCCGCCTGAAAAAGCCACCAACTCGGGGATTACCCTTACTTGCCTGAGCCAGTGTACACCGGGTGAACCGTGTAACCCCCGGCGAATTATATTGAACACCCTCAGAAACGGCTTGGGGCCCAGACCCCCCTCGTTCCTTGCTTTTATACCCACCTCAAAAGTTTGGTTTTCTAGGTCCCTCGGAAATGCATTTTCCAGGGAACGGGGTGCCCCCCCTTCTCCAGCGGCATGGGCGTTTGAATGCAGCAACTGGTTCGTGCAGTATCCGGGCAGCTGTCGTCTACTGGAAAAAAAAGACGAGCAGTGGCATTTTAGGCTCGGACGTACGAGACAAGGAAATGACGTTCAAATACTGCGGGCGAAGATGATTTGCCGGGTAAGATATGTTTCTCGCGAATCGCTTCTGAGCTCTGCGGGGGAGAAACCACTCGCGCGAGGCAAGGTGTAGGAGTGTCTGTCACCCCCATTTTCTGTAAGGCCAATTGCTTATTGCATGGGCATCCCGGCGGCGCGCGCTCTCCGGATAATCGCATGGGTGCAGCGGGGAGGGCGCGATATAAGGAGAGCGGGGCCTCCGCCTTGTGTTTTCCCTTCAGGTCGCCTTCTGTCCTTACTGTAACAGACCTGTCGCTCCCTCGCACATTTCCTGCGAGACCCACCCTTCGCTCACTCGTCACTTGCCATCGGGACCTCGCTTCCTCGACATACACCCTCTTTTCAATATGTCGACCAAGATTTTTGCTACCATCGTCTCCACTCTCTCCGCGCTCGCACTCGCCGCGGCGGAGAGCCACACGGTCAGCTTTTCCAATAACTGCGGCACGGGCACGGTGAGCACGCAGAGACACGGGCCGCATTCGCACATACTGATCTAACGCCGACTGGTCTAGCCCATCCTCCGTAGCCAGAATGGTGTCGTCCTCTCGCAGGGTGAGGACTACACAAGCAGCGGCTCACTCGACGGGGCCTTCGCGTACGTCTCTTTCTCCGTGCACTCCGAGCGAGCATGCATTCAGATGCTCACCCGATGTTCCGCCAGGTACCTCCAAACCGGCGGCTGCGGCGACAATGGCGAGAGCTGCACACTCGTCGAACTAACCCTCACGGATGGCTGGAGCAGCGCAGACATCTCGCTCATCTCTCCGTAGGTGCCACGCCCATCCGTCCCAGTGCCGCAGCTGATAAGTTTGTGCAGGCACGAGTTCTCCGTTACAAGCGGCGTGTCGTACTACAACGGCTGCGACGACACGAGCACGACTTGTACGTAATTTTCTCCTTCATGTTCCTTGTCCTGGAGGCTGATCGAGGCTATCTGTTCAGGCTCCTCGGCGAGCTGCACCCAGGCGTTCCACGATTCTGACGACACCTCCGTTCAGATTGGCTGTTCTACCGCCGACGTGAGTCTTCCGCGCGACGTGCCAGTGCATTCCACTAACACAACGTATAGGTGGACCTCCTCATCAGCTTCTGCGGCTAGACTGCACCAAGCACATACACCTATAAAAGCGGCGTCGAGCCCGCATTAATCGAGGGAAAATACGTGTATCCCTGACTGTTGTATGTATCCATGCCGTCCTGTCGTTTATGTAGCCATGCCCATGTAGCCCCACCATAGAATCTATGTAGAATGGAGAACTCTGTCTCTGTCCTGCCGTGTGAGACCGGTTCTGCACGCGTAGGGTTAGGGTCTACTGAGACACGTCATAAGTAGACGGTAAGTAAGATCCCGATCTGACGTCGTTCGTCACCGCGGCGTCACTGGCGCACTTGCTGCCATACTCCATTACAGTCGGTGCCGCTGCACACAGCTATCCCCTTAAACCACGATGACGCTGACATCATCAGGCGAGAGTAGCCACAGCTGCGTCAGTCGCTCCTCAGGCAAGCCCCGCAACGTCTCGCCCTCAAATAGTCAGACCTCTGATATCCTCGCCTCCCATAGCTTTACGTCTTACCACGACCTCCTCAGCATACACCCACTCCTGTCCAACGCATATAGTCAGTCTAACGACCACCACGAACTATAGACATGTCTGGCCTCCCACCGACTCTCAGCGCTGAGACTGGCACCCCCGCTCACGAGTGGGCCCAGTCCACGACGACTGCTGCCTTTGAGCGCGAGGAGGCGGCACCCGCCTCAGGCGCAACACCTGCCTTTCCGCGCGAGAGTGCGGCAACCACCTCAGGCGCAACCCCTGCCTTTGTGCGCGAGAATGCGGCACTGGCACCCACCTCAGGCGCATCGTACCTTCCTCCTGGCGCGCTGCAGACGCGCACTGCTAGTTCTGCCTCTACTCCCGGTATTCCTGGGGCCTACCCTCGCGAGGAGACCGGCCCTACCAACACTGAAGCTGTGACACAAGCCGCAAAAGACGCAATGAACACTGTGACAACCACCGCGCAGCAGTACCTCCCCGTAGTACAGGAGACTGCAGCGCAAGCCGCGCAACGCGCGGCCGAGGTTGCATCACAGGCGACGCAAGCCGTTCAGAATTACATGTGTATGTCGCTTCAGTTCGATGGACCAGGTACACGACTTACATTATCCCATGCGCAGCTGGCTCCACCGCGGTCGAAGATTCCTCGACCGTTCGCGCATCTCTTGCGGACACGCCGCATCAGGCATCCCTTCCAAGCACCGAGACGTCAGGTGCATTCCCAAAGGAGAACATCGGCGGCGCAGGAGCACTTCCGGGTCATGTCTCTGAGGAGGCCGTCACTAAGCTTCCGGACGAGCGCAGCGCCAAGCGCGTACCTGGTAAGTGATTATATGCGTGACCGACAGCAGCATATACTGAGACGGCTCGGTTTCAGCGATTTACCCAGATCGTCGTGGCTACCCATCTACCGCTCCTCCCGATGTCCTCGCTCCTGCCTCACAACACTCGACTGCTAGCTACCCTATTGCCGTGGCAGCCGTCCCCGCAACGGCTGCCTTCACTCCGCTCGCGCCGTCCGGTCAACATCCATCACACGCACAGTACAGTCCCGTCACCCTCCGCGAGTCGCTCCCGTCCCAGGAGTCCAGCGGCCAGATGCCATACACGCACCAGGATGGCGTTGGCGCCCTTCCGGGCACGAAGCACGAAGCGGGCACCGCCGTTCTCCCCGACGACAATCGCGGGATTGCCGGCCCAACGGCT